ACAAATCAAAGGGCAATGATCAGAACTCTTCCAGTAGAGCGGTTGCAACTGAACACCCTCCTAAATGCTTCAATTGTGGAAAAGCTGGACATGTCATCAAAGACTGCCGCTTGCCAAGGAAGAGGGACTTCAACTATTACAAGCAGAAGATGTTATGGAACAAACAGAAGATGTTCATGGCCAAGCAAGACGATGATAGTGCTGCAACACTCACTGAGGGAGATCCATGGCAGGAAGAGAGTTCTGACGATGAAGAAGGAGAAAACTTAGCCCTAATGGCCATTGTTGAGAAGGAAGAAGAAGAAAAGGGTGATGTTGCGATCCCCGGTGGAAGTTCAAGCTCCAATCACACTGTAAGTACTCCTAAACCGTCTTGCTCTTGCACATGCAAAGTTCATTCTTTTCAAGAAAAGGATAACACCATAAAGGAGTTAAAAGACAGGTTAGATCATAATTACAAGAATCTACTCACAAAGCTTGACAGAATCACTTCCTTAAGCATACAACTGGATAATGAAAAGGATATGGTGAAAAAGCGAAATTCTGAAGTAGAAATGCTTACACAGAAAGTCGCTGAACTCACTAGACAGTTAAGTGAATCAGAAGCAGAACGAAATTGTGAGACAGCTAGAAAGGAGATGCTATTAAATAGAGTCAGCATTCTTTACAAGAAAATCAAAGAATTAGAAGATTTAATTGCCAAAAGAGGACAGTCAGAACAAACAATTTTTCTAAATCAAAACAAGGACACTCGTTTCTATAACTCTAAAGAAGGTCTTGGCATCACAAACCCTCGTAATTTGAAAAAGGTCAATTTCCGTCAACTCTATGATATCAATTACATGGGTTTGGGATTAACCAAGTTGATGCTCTTTGTCGGAGCAAAAGAAACTGCTGAAGAAGAAGAGACAAAGAGATCAAATCCTTCTAAAGCTGAGGTTCCATTCAATTATGACTCTCTTAACGAAAGTTATGCCACAAAAGAACCTGTTTTTTCACATGATGAGAGTGTTAGCCCTTACCCTTCTGAGACAGAAGTGGTGTCAGATCCAGAACCTCCTTCAACCTCTGATTCTGAAAAGGAGGAAGAACCCTATATCCCTCCACTGATAAGAAAATTTGAAAAACTTCACATTACTTTAGAAGAACAAAGAAAAGGCTTTGAAGAAGAAAGAAAAAGCTTTGAAAGTGAAAGGGATCGGTTGCTAAATGAATTAACTCTTTTGAAAGAAGGTTCTCGATCCAACACAACTTCTCAATCATCTAGTGATATTGATGCTTCTCAACGAAATTTGAACAACTCTGAATTTTTCCAAAACCACCCACTCACTCCAAGTCTCCTTTGAAAACAGGGAATGAAGTAAGTAAGAGATTGGAGAGGAGACGTGAGTGGAGAAAGAAGAGAGAAGAAATAGCTGAAGGGAAGAAGAAGATGTTTTTCGAAAATAAGAAGTCATGTTCAAATGCTGTTTTCTATTCAAATAAGCGTAGATCTAGTTCTATGTCACAGTCTTGTAGTTCTACTTCAGTCTCGTGTCCCGAGCTGAATGAATCTGATTTTACTTCTGATCCATTCTATTTCAATAAGAAGTTGTATGCTCCTAAGTTAGGAAATGCATGTTTTAATGATTCTGATCATAAATGTGTTGTGAATTCTGTTCGTGAGAGAAAACAGAAAGAGCACAAACAAAAGAAACAATCTGAGAATAGAGCGGTAGAGGGTATTTATAATTTTCCAAATTTGAAATATCCTCTTAAAGTTCATTCAAAGAAACACTTACAAAGACTCTCTAAGGAAGCAATTTTAAAACCTTATCTCACGAACCAGCCGTTCACACACAGAAACAATGACTCTGTCTTCTCTGCTCCTAAAATCAAACAAAAATGGATACCAAAAGCTGAGATCGAAAAACAAAAATCACTGTCTGAAAAGGCTGCTGACCTTGGATCACAGCTGAAAGAAAAATTCAAAAAGATATTCTCAATTGATAAGGAAGGACCCATCCTGCGGTGGGTACCTAAAAGTCCTTAATCTGTTTTGCAGGACGGTCATGTGTGGCACTTAGATTCAGGCTGCTCAACCCACGTGACCGGAATAAAAGAGCTGTTGAGCAATTACACCAAATGCTACGAAGGAAATGTGAGATTTGGAAACAACGCGGCCTCTCCAATCCTAGGATATGGGGATGTCATCTGTGCAAGCGTCACCATAAAGGCTGTCTCATACGTGAAAGGACTGAAGCATAATCTACTAAGAATTGGACAGTTTTGTGATAGTGGCATGGAAGTGAAGTTTATAGCTAGACAATGTTGTGTGCTGGACAGGTTTGGGAAGGTATTATTGACCTGCACGAGAACTTCCAACCTGTACACCATTGATCTGAAGAGCGTACAATTACCTTCTTCCATCTGCCTGCTGTCCAAAGCTTCCTCTGAACAAAACAGTCTATGGCACAGACGCCTTTCTCATCTCAACTTCAAATATCTCACAACTCTATCCTCCAAGAAACTTGTGAAAGGGCTGCCTCCTTTGAAGACTTCCGCTGACACTCATTGTGATGCCTGCAGACTAGGCAAGATGAAAAGGAGCTCTCACAAGTTAAAACCTGTTCCATCCTCCTCCCGACTGCTGCAACTACTTCACATGGATCTGTGTGGACCGATGAGAGTCCAAAGTATCAATGGACGCAAATATACACTAGTCATTATGGATGACTTCTCTCGGTACACATGGACCAAATTTCTGAGGACAAAGGATGAAACCGCTGCAACCATCATAACCTTCATCAGGACGATCCAAAATTTTCTACAAAAGAGTGTGGAGATCATCAGAACAGATAATGGTACCGAGTTCAAGAATCAGTCTCTTGCTGATTTCTATGAAACTCAGGGTATCACACAGCAATTCTCTGCAGCAAAGACACCACAACAGAACGGGGTTGTTGAAAGAAAGAATAGAACTCTTGTTGAAGCAGCATGCACCATGCTCATTCAGTCAAAGCTTCCCCATTTCATGTGGGCTGAAGCAATCAACACGGCGTGCTTTACTCAGAACAGAACATCAATTCACAAACGCTTCAACAAGACCCCCTATGAAATACTCTTCAACAGAACACCTGACATCTCATTCTTCAGAGTGTTTGGCTGCAAGTGCTATGTTCTAAATGACAGAAATGAAAGAAGCAAGATGGATCCGAAAGTCATCGAAGGAGTATTCATTGGATACTCCACGCAATCAAAGGCATATCGGGTCTATCTACGTGATCGCAGAACAGTCATTGAGAGTGTCAACGTTGCATTCTATGAAATGGCTGACTTTGCTTCTGAACATTTCTTGATAGAACACACACTCTCTGATCAAAGGAAGCAACCTGATGGAGCTGAAGCAACGAAGCAAACAACAGCCGACAGTGCAATTCTCGACTCTCTCTTTGAACATTTCTGTGAGAATGCACGCACTGCCAACCAACAATTACCAACAGAAGCTGCTCAACCACCATTTATGCCTGACCTTAGTGAGGAAGAAGCTGACTCACCTCATACATCAGATCACGAAGATACTGAGGATCATGGCACGACAGCAACACAAGCAACTTCACCAGCACAAGTTTCAAAAATACCAGCTCGAGCAGCTACAGAACCTGCATCGACCCCTGTGCACTCCACTCCCCAACAAACCACGTCTACTACTTTTGAGGACCCGGATCACCCTATCATAACTCCAATCCCTCTAACTCATGAGCGGAAATGGACGAAGGCACATCCTGCAGAACAAATTATTGGAGATCCGAGTCGTGGAGTTTGCACAAGAACGGCTACAGCAAATGAATGTCTCTTCTCTTGTTTCATCAGCCAATCTGAACCAACCAAAGTTTCTGAAGCTCTAGCAGATCCAGATTGGGTGATAGCAATGCAGGAGGAGATCAATCAGTTTGAAAGATTGGATGTATGGACCCTGGTGCCAAGACCCCCAAAGAAAACAATAATTGGCACCAAGTGGGTCTTCAAGAACAAGAAAGATGAAGACAGTGTGATAATCAGGAACTGACGTGCACTTTGTCGTGGTGTGCACTCAAAATAATATTCAATACAACAATTATACGTAGTATAATGAAGTAAGGTTCGTATCCACATGGAAAGGAATATTTCTCTTTTTAATTAACTAGTAACAAAGGGGGGGGTTCAGGTTTGAGTGATTTAATTAGAATTAAGCACGAAGATGAACGAGTTATGTGGTTTACTTAATGAGAAGAAGACTTGGTTTTGCTTTTATCCACTTAATGAAATGTTCGTCGATCCCGGTTATATCTTTAACTATCTTCCTCTCGAATACTCAATCGAGGAGTATATCCAATTCATCGAGGGTAGTTATTAATAACGAGACGCGTTCATTAATAAAACTTACTTCCGAGTCAATATAGAACAAGCGCCGTATATTAACTTGATAGTAGCAATAAAATCAAGATGAAAACGATTGAGATTGATAACCTCAACACAAGCGGTTTATTGGTTTAATCAATATAATTAATTCCCCTTGGCTTATTAATCATGAGAAGCATGCATTAACAACCCAAGTTTACTACCATTGAAAGAACCGAATTAATAACAAGCGTATTAACCGATTGATTCTAGTAATAATTAATATATGAAACAAAACTAGTTGATCCTTTAAGTAATGTTCAAAATATTAATATGAAATATGAATAGGAATTAATTAATACTCAAGAAAGAATATTAAAGAAGATGAATCCTACTATAGTTAATATCAAGATGTTAACTAATTGTCATCTTAGTAACACTCCCCGATATTAACATAGAGGAAGAAATAACTATTACTATAACTAATGTCAAGATGTTAACTAATTGTCATCTTAGTAACACTCCCCAACATTGATATAGAAATAGTATTTAAAGAAAGAATTAATATTCAAGGAAGAAGATTAAAGATAATAACTCACAACTTACAAATTCATTAAGCTTCAAAGTAGCAAAACCAAGATGGAAGAGTTTAGCTCCTCATTTGGAGACTAAACATGCTATAAAAATATAAAAGAAATACTATTCTAAACTGAGCTTAAGAGTATGGAAGAAGGGATGATTTTTTTGTGAAGGAAAATGGGGCTATTTATAGGTGTTTTTCAACACCTTTGGCCGGGTACCCGACCAGGTAAAGTGCCCACCCGACCGGGTGCATGTCAAAATCAAATATCTTCCACGTTCTGGCGATCTTCGGCACGTTCTGGTGTTCCGGGTCAAGTCGGACCCGACCGGGTGAAATACCTCACCCGACCGGGTGATGTAATTTCCTGAGCAGTTTCGCATTTAAATTTCTCACCCGACCGGGTGCAATACCTCACCCGACCGGATGATTGTCCTGGGCAGCCAAGAATTATTTTTCTTCACATTCAAAGTCTTCCTTTCCAACACCATAAATCCTAACTCTACTTTACAACTTACAAATGAGAACTAAAATACAATTACAACTAAAATCACACAAATGTTTATAAACTAAATAAAACGATAAACAATACACACAAATCAAACATAAAAACATACACTTATGCACTACTAATTAGTGCATATCAAATACCCCCACACTTGAACCTTTACTCGTCTCGAGTAAACCAAATCCAGCCCAAGAAGTCCTTAAAATGGCAAGAGTATCAACACCAACATCCACGTGTGTTTTTAGAACAACACGAAAAAATATCCCAAAAATATAAGAGTAAAAGGGGGGTCTTCAACTCCCATATCTCTTATCAACCTCAATTCTTTTTTTTCGTTACCCTTAGGATCCTGCAGAAATAAAAGAAAATATTTTCTCTCATTCTCTCATTTTGCCTAGGTGCCCTTTCGGGTTTTCATCCCAGCTTCCCACATTTTTCTGTTTCAATCCTCACAACTCACTCTTATTTTTGCTTTATTTTTGCTTAAGTTGCCTTTTCAGGTTTTCAACTTAACAAGCTTTATTCTCTCTTTTTTTTGTGTTTTTTTTATTTTGAAAAAAAAAACTCAAGAATATAGAGTATGAATGTGAGTTTTCCCTGAAATTCTCCCCCCATGCTAATCAAAGCACTGTCCCTAGTGCTTGTGTCCGAGATGTCCAAGAGAATGAATCTCTTTGCCCTTTTTGGTGTCATTTCTTTCTTTTTGGTTGAGGAAATTTCGGCTTTTGCTGTTTGTGGAGTAAGGTGATTTGGATTTTTGGTGGGTTGTGGGTTGTTTGATGGGTATGGAAATGTAGAGGGTGAGGAGGAGATGATGAGCATGATTTTTTTTTGATGGATTTGGTGTAGAAATGGAGAGGATTCAAATATATGGAGTTTGAAAATGGTGTTTTGGCGGAGTTTGGTTCGTGTTTGCAGAAGAGGAAGTGAGGAAGAGGGTGGCCAGCTCAGTCGGTGAAATAATTCGCGACGACCCGGCCGGGTGGGGTAAGTTGACCCGGTCGGGCCTAACTCCCGCTTATCCAGAATGTTTTTAATGAACATGCCCGGCCGGGTGTATTGAAGTTACCCGGTCGGGTATGTTCATTTTTCCTCTATTCCACAACTGCCTCGCCCGGGTGATTCGGCCGGGTGCTGTGTTTTATGAAGGGGCCCGACCGGGTTGGGTTTTATACCGGGCCGGGTTCAATCCCCAGGCCTCTTTTTTTTTTTTTTTTTTTTTGAAGTGTAAACTTAAACTAGAATAAAAAGTAAACGTACCTTACATGGGTTGCCTCCCAAGAAGCGCCTTATTTAACGTCGCTGCACGACGCCATCATTGTGTTCAGTCATTTAAACTTGGATCGTGATAGTTTATCTTCTTCACACTTTCACTCCTAGGACCTTCATAGGAATGATAAATTTCTCGACTCTTCACTTTGGAAATCTTTCCAGGATCAAATATCCAGATTTTTATTGATTCATGTGGTGGGAGGAAGGGGAAGAAATTATCGTTTAGCATGGTCAATGAGAAGTTTTTCGATCCCTCAATTTTGAAGGAGATTTCAGAAATGCCATTGTCCTTTTCAAGTTTATGAGTTTCTCTTAAAGAGTCAAGGGATGATGGAGATACCTCAAAGGATGATAAGGTCAGATATTGGACCTTGAAACTCGGTTCATTCTCTTCTTTGACTAGCTGGAACTCCGTGTTTCTTTCTTCTTGTATTTCTTCTGGATTTGGGATCTCCTTTTGCATTTCCTTCTCAATTGTCACTGTGATTGCAAAAGTTTGCTGTTTAGGATCACATTCTATTTGAGAGGAAAGTTCTCCTGAATCCCTTGCTTCGAGCTGTAACGCCCCTCTCAGGGTTAAAGGAATCGTTACACTAACTTACTACTTTTAAAAATAACTACAATTAACGGCCGTCTATTTAAGAAAATAACCCTGATAAAATCTCAAAAATAATTAAAATATAACTCTTGATAAGAACTCAATAAAATATAATTATCACCAGCAAATTAAATGTGATAACCACCTGGATCCAGGAATTTGCTAAAACTTCAAATCCTCAAATAAAAAAAATAAAGTAATATAAGTCACTTTATTATAACACTGAAATACTGAAACCAAATATTATCTAGCTAGAAGCCACCAAGGTCGTTCCCGTTAACTCATCTTGGCACGCGTTCCACTCCCTCGTCATCTTCCTAGGCCTTGGCCTTACCCTTAGTATCTGTACATGCGAAAAAAGAAAACTGATAAGCTTTACGCTTAGTAAGTCACTATGGCTCCACAAAAATATCTAGAAGTCTAAGCCAATTTATCAATAGATAAATTAGGCTATAAGCATGCACTGAACCAATAACTAACACATAACTTCTCAAATACATTCTGAGCGAGATCTCAAAAGGAAAATATTTTTCTAAAATAATTTCTCAAAACTGCTGAAGAGATCTCAAAATATCTTTCTCAAACATCTCTGTAAAACTTTCTGAAAGAGATCTCAAAAACAACTTTCTGTAAAACTTTCTGAAGGGGATCTCATAAACTTTCTGTAAAACTCTTTGTGGCTAATTTTAACTGTGGGCCCGTGATATGTACTCAAAGGCGCCAATCCGACAGCTCAGGGGAGCGACCCACTAAACATATCGGACTCTCTGAAACTGATAAGCTGATAACTGATAAACTGAGGGAACTTGTTCCCGAGTACATATCACCTGATCTTTCACTTTAAGTATTAGTTCTTTTTATGGTGACGTTTGACTAAAAACATCATTAATTCTGAAACAAAAGTACTGACAAATCTTGACTATGCCAGATAATAAACATAACTTAATCTCACAATAACATAACTCATCACATAATTCACATAGTTCACATAATAGCAAATAGTCTAAAATTATCTATTAAAAATCAACCAGACTTCTTTCTTGCATTTGGTTGAACAAACATGTACAGGTGGTAGTGAACTTACCTGTTAACGGCTGAACTCAAATTACTCAAATAAGTGTGGCCCCTTGATAACGTCTTCCGATGAGCTCTTCCTTAAAAATCTTTAATAAGTTTTAACCGTATAACTAAAGTTAGATGTGTGCACTATTATTATAATAATATAGAAAATAAGGATTAGCCACAGTTCAAACCCAGGTTATACAACCGAGAGATTTCATCTCAATCTGTTGGGACATTCCATCTCTGAGACTGTGCTTAATTGATCTATTATTGCTTGAAAAACACTATTTAAACTTGGGATCAATTTTAATAATTAACTTCAACAAAAAATATGTATAATTAGGACAGTGTTTTGAATGAAACTGATCTCCTAAAAAGTAATCTTTTCCTGCTGCTGCGTACCAATTAAGTACGAATCAGGCTTAAAATAAGATTTCTCCAAGATTGTACGCAGCAAATAGGTATATTAACCTGATAGCCATTCATCATATTGACAAAACTAGTTTTTTAAGCTCATAAAGATGCGACCCATTATGATCATGAAGAGGAAAACACTACTTTTAATTAATAAAGCTACTAAATTTGAAAAATTGAAACTAAAATAAGAGACATACGTTTCTTTATTAGTCAATACTAGAAGGTTATTCTCCAAGATATACATTACAATCCAAAAGGAGGTTAGGGATTTGACAACCCAAAAGAAAATCGTATTAGTACCTGGAATAGTACTGCTAAAGATAGAGAAGATACATCCGAAAACCAATACTTGTTTGATGGAGACAAAATTTCCGATGACCATGTGGAGAAGAAAACGGCAGATTGCTCGTTAAGGAGAGGACCAAAGGGTTTTAAGTAAAAAAAATATTTTGAACCTCTTTTAGGGATTTCGGTGTAACTAATTGGGCCAAAATAACTACTTTGGGTTAAGATAACTGATTTGGGTCTCTTAATCCTCTAAGATATACTTGTACTTATGACCCAACTGAAAATTTGTATTTTCCATTTTACTAAATAAAAATTAAAATCATACTTATTTCATTGACTAAAATTAATTTGAGCTTATCGGTCAACGTTACCTGCCACAAATAAAACACATGATATAAAGTAATAAATCGCATTAATCATAAAAGACGTATATGACTGACTGAAATAATTAATAATGATTAATATAACTAGCTCATAAAAATCGGGGTGTTACAACCCCTCCCACCTTATAAAAGTTTCGTCCTCGAAACTTAAAACATCTCGAGATAACGACGTGCCATATTATTTCAACCTGGGCCCTTCACTTGGCCTTAGTACAACTGTAATAGCTTTATACCTTTCACCAGATTACTTAATTTATTTCGTGAGCATATATAACTTAAATGCGAGAAGTTTGCACTGACTTTTCTTCTTATTACTAAACTGATCAATTTTCCACGATTGGCAAAACACACAATTATTTCATATAATGACCAACACAAATACTAAGAAAACTCTTAGTATTTAAATCCACTTCTCCTGATTTCTCGTGGCACTACAACACAAAATCATAGCTCACGAGATAGTTTAATAGTTTGACCTCTTTGCTTAGAATTATGAAAAAGAAAGACAATACTAAACTTTAACCTTGTCATAAAACTTACCCCTCGTACTACTAAAATGAAATTTAGATTCATATTCTACCAATATGGTTACATAGGTCAAACTTGTCTTTTAAGGAAAAATGTTTTATTCTGTGTCAGTTATAAGAGTTCATCCTCACAATTTGTTTACACTGTGGGGAAAAATAAAGTTTTCTCATTCACCATTTTATTGCTTTTATCGAAGTGATATCTTCATTTATATGAAATCCGTTTTATTATACTAGCCATCACACAACCCGTTCATGATAGCAGGGCTATGAGACTCATATGTACGCCTAAAAACATTAAGGATGGTTATACTCAATAATGATACCAACATAGAATTATATATCTACTGTTGGATCCTTGAGATATCTTTTCTTCTTATGCATCAAAAGTACTCAGAGCTAGCACATCATTTATAACTTCAGGAAGAAAAAAAAATCATTCTTATGTTATGTGTAGTCAAGGTGGCTCTCCACATAAAATTCTTTTCTAAAGCATAACAAGAAATCTTCATTTCTTTTAATAATCCACCGTAATCTGATTTACCTATTATATCAAAAGAATTTTTTTTAAAGCCTAAAATAGATTAAACTACTAAACTCTTTTTCTTTTATCCACTCAAGCATTTCAAAATTATCTTTTCATCAAAAGAAAAACTTTCTTATGGTTCTGTACCTCTGTAACCGAACTATAACTTCATTGATTAATATATTGAACTAGTCAAGAAAGTTGAATCTAACTTATAATTAGAATTTTCTTTTATCTTAAAATTTGATCTTGAAAAGAACAGTTATTCCTAATAAGATGAACACCAGTCTCCCTCAATCCTTGAACACAATTGATTAATTGAAGCTAATAGTCTTAATATCTAGAGGAAAAATCTTCCGGTGGATAAGTCTTTTGTGAACAAGTTATATTATAAGTTTTGTAACTAAATCTTCTTGGACTACCTCTAGAAAATCAGTAAGTGGGTAGACATTAAAATGTCAACATCAAAAAAAATAAATTATTTGCTTAGTTTCAAATTTTCATTTTTCTTAAACAAAAGATATCATAAATGTTCTGTTTAACAAAAACTGACATTGTCCAGCACATAAATGTCTGACACTAAAAATTTGTCAACAGGCATTTTTTTTGTTTCACTAATGACTTTATAATTCTAATCTCTTAGCTTCCTATTCAGTAGTAGAAAGATTAAATAAAATACTATTTTTTTTCCTCTCTCAATTAAACCTTTCATCCCTTCACTAATCGAAATGTGATATATTCAAAAAAGTAGTCTACACGACCCAGAATAATAGTTCAATTGTAAACTTTCTTTAAGCTCTTCAAAATCGATAGTTATTTCTTCTAAACCTTTATCTCCTAACTATTTTCTTTTGCAAATACTGCTCTCTTATAGTGGTAAAGTTTTCATACCTTTATGAAACAATAAGGTCGTCAAACCGTAATACATAATTTCTCACAAGAGTGAAAAATAATTAACAACCATATCAACTGAATAAATCGAATGAGGCCTTATCCAAGACTTACTTAGATTTTAGAAGAGACGTTTTTCCCTAAAAATCAGGTAACTCAATACTTGTTTAATATTACTATACACAAACTCTCAATTTTTTTTTTTGCTCTTTAGTATCCAAATAGAAGTAATAAATTCATCGAAGGATCTAATAAGCTGCTTACAGGATCTAAACTAATATCTTTCAAAAGAAAATCTAAACTTCATAGTTAGACTCTTCTTACTGGGTTCATATATTCTTGACTTTGACTGACAATAATTTACTCCATAAAAGATTCACATTATATAATTTATAATTTACTCAACTATTGGGGTTCAAGCCCTAGAGTTGCTGATAACTCATAACAAAAGAATTGTTTGAGGTGCCAAACTCTTTATAATCTTTATTCTCACTCATACTTCTATTACTCAAAGAACATACCAACTACCAGCACGAGCTCATTGGAAAACTGTCTACAAATACTCGTACATAATGGCTATAAGAGAGCTCGATGGTACCAATGCATATTCTTTATTCTATTGAAATCTTCATATTCTAGATCATATTGTATTGACACTCACTTCGTAAATCCCTATATCGCGTGCAGCAGGTCATAAAACATGGTTCACCAGGGACTGGTGGTTCAATTTGATCCTTCCACTCACATCTTATAATCTAACTTTTAAGAATCTAATAATACTAAAAACTTTTGAATCACGTATAAAGACTTTAATGGCAGATCTTTCTAAAGGAATTTAAGTAGTGAGACTCAATATCTTTTTGGTAACCAAATGAAAAAAAAACGAGGAAGACCTTTGGAAAAATAATGTACAACACTGTTTAAATCTCAGTGCCAAAAGCAAAGAATACTCTGAAGATTTCTTTGAGACGTTTTAAAAATCTAAATTTCTTCTGAAACATACTTTTGAGGAAATAGCTAAATACTATACTAATATATCACTTCAAAAAATTTACTTATTTGAATTTTGGTAAATAGTCACTGCCATGTGATTAATCATTAATCACTAAACGCATTAAATGATTAATCAACACACTTTAAAACTTATTTTGAAATAAGCATTTACAACGTAAAGAAATGTATAATCTGACCATTGATCATTTTAAAGCAGTGTCCGATCACCGGTATCTCCTATTGGAATCATCAAATTGATGAGGGGCCCTCTCAGCAACTCAAGATTCCAAACTTGAGATACCAATGCTCAATACTCTAGAAAATCATGGAGCTTCTGAAACGGTTGATAAAAATTTAACTCCACTATTTAAGAACTTTCGAAATTCAAGGTGAAGCTCCAACATTTTACACACACAAAAATAAGCTATAACTTATAACTCTTAAATAATTAGATAATGTAAAAAGCATGAGCGTTTTTTTTTTATTTTTCAATAAATAAATAAATAAAATACATAACAAACTGATTTGCATGCTTATGAAAATTCTTCATCTCATGTAAATTCACTTACATGTAATGCTTTAAAAAAATATGAGACAAACTCATTATTATTTTTAAAAATAACTAATAAGACTTGGACCATGAATAAACTACAAGCTATATACAAAGATAGTTGGATTACCACTGAATGTGACGTAATTCAATTACTTAATCGTGAGAAAATAAAGACTATATGACACTCTTTTTTTTTAATTAACTCGAATTTAATCATGAGTAACCTCTATGAGAAAATATTCTCTATGAAAGATCAACATAGGCTAAAGTGGAGAAACCGCAAATACGTGATTTTGAGAGATGTGACTAGAACGATGGTGTTTTAGCTAACAGCCCTATGTACTTCCAAAATGAAATAGAAGACCTAACTCAAGAGTATAGGAGCTCGAATAAAATTTAATCTGACTAGCTTGTAATGACACAAAGGTTTTACGAGTTGAGTATATAATAATCTTACTTGACTTTTCTATCTAACTAATACCAACAACACTCAAACATACTTTCACATAGATAACTTTTAGCATAAATAAGTACTTACTTGGAAGATGACGAGCACGTGAACGATGACAAATGAAGTTACGGGACAACCTGGGCTCTGATACCAAATTGTAACGCCCCTCTCAGGGTTAAAGGAATCGTTACACTAACTTACTACTTTTAAAAATAACTACAATTAACGGCCGTCTATTTAAGAAAATAACCCTGATAAAATCTCAAAAATAATTAAAATATAACTCTTGATAAGAACTCAATAAAATATAATTATCACCAGCAAATTAAATGTGATAACCACCTGGATCCAGGAATTTGCTAAAACTTCAAATCCTCAAATAAAAAAAATAAAGTAATATAAGTCACTTTATTATAACACTGAAATACTGAAACCAAATATTATCTAGCTAGAAGCCACCAAGGTCGTTCCCGTTAACTCATCTTGGCACGCGTTCCACTCCCTCGTCATCTTCCTAGGCCTTGGCCTTACCCTTAGTATCTGTACATGCGAAAAAAGAAAACTGATAAGCTTTACGCTTAGTAAGTCACTATGGCTCCACAAAAATATCTAGAAGTCTAAGCCAATTTATCAATAGATAAATTAGGCTATAAGCATGCACTGAACCAATAACTAACACATAACTTCTCAAATACATTCTGAGTGAGATCTCAAAAGGAAAATATTTTTCTAAAATAATTTCTCAAAACTGCTGAAGAGATCTCAAAATATCTTTCTCAAACATCTCTGTAAAACTTTCTGAAAGAGATCTCAAAAACAACTTTCTGTAAAACTTTCTGAAGGGGATCTCATAAACTTTCTGTAAAACTCTTTGTGGCTAATTTTAACTGTGGGTCCGTGATATGTACTCAAAGGCGCCAATCCGACAGCTCAGGGGAGCGACCCACTAAACATATCGGACTCTCTGAAACTGATAAGCTGATAACTGATAAACTGAGGGAACTTGTTCCCGAGTACATATCACCTGATCTTTCACTTTAAGTATTAGTTCTTTTTATGGTGACGTTTGACTAAAAACATCATTAATTCTGAAACAAAAGTACTGACAAATCTTGACTATGCCAGATAATAAACATAACTTAATCTCACAATAACATAACTCATCACATAATTCACATAGTTCACATAATAGCAAATAGTCTAAAATTATCTATTAAAAATCAACCAGACTTCTTTCTTGCATTTGGTTGAACAAACATGTACAGGTGGTAGTGAACTTACCTGTTAACGGCTGAACTCAAATTACTCAAATAAGTGTGGCCCCTTGATAACGTCTTCCGATGAGCTCTTCCTTAAAAATCTTTAATAAGTTTTAACCGTATAACTAAAGTTAGATGTGTGCACTATTATTATAATAATATAGAAAATAAGGATTAGCCACAGTTCAAACCCAGGTTATACAACCGAGAGATTTCATCTCAATCTGTTGGGACATTCCATCTCTGAGACTGTGCTTAATTGATCTATTATTGCTTGAAAAACACTATTTAAACTTGGGATCAATTTTAATAATTAACTTCAACAAAAAATATGTATAATTAGGACAGTGTTTTGAATGAAACTGATCTCCTAAAAAGTAATCTTTTCCTGCTGCTGCGTACCAATTAAGTACGAATCAGGCTTAAAATAAGATTTCTCCAAGATTGTACGCAGCAAATAGGTATATTAACCTGATAGCCATTCATCATATTGACAAAACTAGTTTTTTAAGCTCATAAAGATGCGACCCATTATGATCATGAAGAGGAAAACACTACTTTTAATTAATAAAGCTACTAAATTTGAAAAATTGAAACTAAAATAAGAGACATACGTTTCTTTATTAGTCAATACTAGAAGGTTATTCTCCAAGATATACATTACAATCCAAAAGGAGGTTAGGGATTTGACAACCCAAAAGAAAATCGTATTAGTACCTGGAATAGTACTGCTAAAGATAGAGAAGATACATCCGAAAACCAATACTTGTTTGATGGAGACAAAATTTCCGATGACCATGTGGAGAAGAAAACGGCAGATTGCTCGTTAAGGAGAGGACCAAAGGGTTTTAAGTAAAAAAAATATTTTGAACCTCTTTTAGGGATTTCGGTGTAACTAATTGGGCCAAAATAACTACTTTGGGTTAAGATAACTGATTTGGGTCTCTTAATCCTCTAAGATATACTTGTACTTATGACCCAACTGAAAATTTGTATTTTCCATTTTACTAAATAAAAATTAAAATCATACTTATTTCATTGACTAAAATTAATTTGAGCTTATCGGTCAACGTTATCTGCCACAAATAAAACACATGATATAAAGTAATAAATCGCATTAATCATAAAAGACGTATATGACTGACTGAAATAATTAATAATGATTAATATAACTAGCTCATAAAAATCGGGGTGTTACACGAGCCCACTCACGGCTCCGGCTATTTGACTCACTTGAGTTTCCAAGTTTAAAATTTTAGACTTGGTCTCATTTTGGAATTGCACCATATTGTTTTGCATGATGGTCATGTTGGTAGTAAGAGTCCGAAGCATGTCCTCCGTAGACATGTTGGGGAATGGATCATACATCATGTGAGGTACTTTCCTTTGGAAGCCAACATAATCAAAATTCTCAAGGTATTCTTGTTGGAGTTTTGGGCAAAAATCCGTAAGATGTCCGTGAGACATGCAAATGTTGCATGTTTTGGCATCTTGAGCTTCTGAGCTTAAGATATATTCCTTTATTAGAGAAGTCAAGAAGGAAATTTGACTCTCTAAGGATGATGTGTTGGTATCCATATACTCATAACTCATGTAAGCTCAGAAAATAGAAGAGTAAGATTTTTTTTTTTTTTTTTGAAGCCCTTTTTGCTTAGATTGCCCGTTTTTGGGTTTTCAACCTAACTAGCATTTCTTTTTCTATTTTTTTTTGTGTGAAGAAAATAATGCAAGTTACAAGGTAGAAAATTAAGTATGTTCCAATGAGTGACTCCCCCTCACTTAGCTCGAAGCACTGTCCCTAGTACTTGTCTTCGTTATACCCGGGTTGAAACGGACATCCTCGTTGTCCCTTTGCATTTATACTTTCGGCCCTCACCTTCTTATGTGTCATTGAATGTACTTTTTGGGTCTTGGGTTTCGGACTTGAGGGTAGGGAGTAGGGTTTCAATTTTTTTTTTGAATGGAAAAAAAATATGAGGATTTTTGGGTATTGGATTGTAGAGAAAAGTGAGGAGAGTGTATTGGTTGTTGTATGAGTGATTTGGTGGAGAAGTGAAGGAGATATGGTAGAGAGAGAAGGTAGAAAAATGGAGTTTGGGGGAAAGGGGTTTGAAGTTTGGGATGATTTTTGGAGAAGATGAAGTGGGTTGGGGTGTTTTATGGGTATAAACCGCAGGGGTACCCGATCGGGTATCACCCTATACTCGATCGGGTGCTGGAGACAGGGGGGTGCAAAAATGGCTTTTCCAGTGATACTCGACCGAGTATTGGTAGATACTCGATAGGGTATAGGAGGCAGGTTTCCTTTGATTTCGTCTTTCTGTACATACTCGACCGAGTATTGACATATACTCGATCGAGTATGCTTGCATCTCTAAAAAGCTTTGTTGTTTCGATCGAGTACTGAAATTGGTTCCTCTTTTTTTTATCCATACTCGACCGAGTATATTTACATACTCGATCGGGTATGCCCCCAGATACACTTTTTTTTTTTAAACACACGCACACTACGGAAAAAGAAAACATATCTTGCTTGGGTTGCCTCCCAAGAAGCGCCTAATTTAACGTCGCGGCACGACGTTTATTTTTATTTTATCTTTTTTGTTTATGTGGGATCATGAACATCCCTTTTATCCTTCTTTAAGTCCCTGTTTGGCCTTGTTTCAATTTTATTTTTCAGCCTTTCCCAGTAAGGCCGAGATTTCTTTCTTGCTTCCACCTCAACCATCGGTGGGTTTAGTTCACAATTTGATAGCTCCTTTAAAAATGATTTCCCATTTTTAGTTTCCTCTTTTCCTTGAAAAATTGGGATTTCAACAGATTCCTTCAAAAACTTTGGTTCTTGTGGTTCAAAAACATTTAAAGAGCAAAGGGGTTGATCTTTAATTTGTTTTTTCGTAGAGTCAAATATATTGAACTCTACTTTTTGGTCATTGAACTCTAAAGTTAATGAACCACTAGACACGTCAATTTTTGTTTTTGCGGTCTTTAAGAAAGGTCTACCCAACAGGATAGGTGTTGTTTGGTTACCATCCCCCATTTCAAGGATATAGAAGTCAACAGGAAAAACCATATTTTCTACTTCTACTAGCACATCTTCTATTACGCCCTTCGGGTAAGTAGTAGAACGATCCGCTAGTTGAATCACTACACTGGTTTGATGTAGTGGACCGAGTTGTAGGGATTTATACACCGAGTAAGGGATGACATTTATGGATGCCCCTAAATCCAACAAGGCTTTAGAAAATGTGGTGTCTCCTATTTTGCAAGGTATGGTGAACATGCCTGGGTCGCTACATTTTTCGGGGAGTTTCTTTTGAAAAAGAGCCGAAACATGTTCACTCACCTTAACCTCTTGTTTTCCTTTCACTTTATTTTTTGTTTTGCATAATTCTTTTAAAAATTTAGCAAAACGGGGAACACTTTTCATTGAGTTAAGGAGCGGAATGTTTACCTCACACTTGGAGAAAGTTTCATAGATGTCAGCATCTTTGTCAAGCTTCCTTGTTTCCCTCAATGCCTCAGGGAATGGGGCCACTAGTTCATATGATGGAGATGGAGGAAGTTTTGCCTTTGTGATTCCCTCCTCCGAGTGAGCTTCCTCTTCAGGGTCAACCTCCTCAAGAATTTGGTCTTCCTTTTCTAATTCTTTCAATGCCATCTCACTTCTCAACATGATTGCATTCACATGTTGTCTCGGGTTTTGCTCCGTTTGAGATGGGAGTTTACCCGAGTCTTTTGCTTCAAGTCGGTTTACGGCATTAGAAATTTGGCTAACTTGAGTTTCCAAATTTTTAATGCTTGACTTTGTCTCATGTTGGGATTGTATCATGGTTTGTTGAAATTCTCCCATGTTTTGTTGCATGGTAACCATGTTTGATGTCAAAGTTCGGATCATGTCATCCGTTGACATATTGGATTGAGATGTTTGTTGAGAAGATGAGTTGGTTTGTTGAGGGTTTCCGTATCTCAAATTTGGATGATCCCTCAATCCCGCATTATAAGAATTTGAGAAAGGATCATACCTTCTTATTTGATGTCCTTGAAAACCGAGAACGTTGACTTGCTCTTCTTGGAGTGATGGACACGCATAAGTGGGGTGTCCGGTTGATGTGCAAACTCCACAAGTTTTTACCTCCTCAGTTTTTGGTTTTAAAAGGAACTCTTTTATCAAAGAAGTCAAGCCGGCAACTTGACTCTCTAGAGTGGTTGTGCTGGATTCCGCCGCAAGAACTCTTCAAGTTGAGGTTTTGCGGCCGAATTGTCGTGAGTTCTCGGCCAACTCCGAGATAAGACTTATAGCTTGTGAAGGAGTTTTATTGACTATCCCACCTCCACAAGCGGCATTCACCATTCTTCTATCATCATCAACAAGACCATCATTTTTTTTTGATGAAATGTAAATATATATAGAATCATCCAAGAATGTTTATGTACATCATATACAAAAAGCAAAAACAATAGGCCAGTCCTCATATAGGATGCCTCTTCCTCTCTATTCGATAACTAACCGTATAAGTTAGCTATCCACCACAAAAATCAGCCATCAAGCTATTGACAAAAAAAACGGGGTCTAAATAGCCCCAAAGTTTCAAAAAGTAATCATATGGACTGGGTATAGCGAATAGAGAATTTTGTACACCATATACTTGATATGCGACACAATATCCTCCACCTTAGCCTTAGCTCCATCAAAACATATAGCATTTCTAGTTCTCCATGTCCAATAGACCGTGTAGCACAGTGAAATCCTTATGGACTTTGCTTTGATATTTGCTCCGTTATGCTCTTCTTTAATCCATTTGACCGCACTCAACAGTGTTGTCATTCGTCTTTTTAGCCCAAGCCATTGTCTCACCATGTCCCATACCTGACCTGTAAAAGTACAACCAAAAAATAGGTGTGGTACTGTTTCCGGACCACCCTTACAAAAAAAGCACATATTAATTACATCAAGAAACCCCAAGTTATCATATGTAGGTAGCCTGTTTCTCAAGGCAAGCCACATGATGAATGAGAACTTTGGGGGTATAAAAGGTTTCCATATAAAAGACATCCACACCCGAGGGGTGGCTCTAACTCTAAGTAATTCATAGACCTTTCCTGTGGCCAGCCTTCCATTAGGGGCATTCTTTTGCAGGAAAGTAATAGCCGTATCCAAAGTAGTGAATTTGGAGACAATGGAGTCTCGGATCATGGCTATTCTCTTCATTAGTTGGGAATCCCTATTGTGTGGAACAAATGTCCACACGTCCCTCCCATGGAGGTATACCCCGTGAACCCATCTGACCCAGAGAGTATCCTGTTTTTGGTGAATATTCCATAGGGTCCTAGAGAGAAGAGCGTTATTCCATATCCTTGCATTTTTAATACCTAACCCCCCTTCTTGTTTGGGTAAACAAACATCATCCCAAGCCACCTTGGCATATTTTCCCCCCCAAAGGAAAATACGACAAAGGCTAACAATTCTGTCGATAATGGTCCTAGGGACCGGGAAGATCCCCAACCAGAAGGATTGGACACCTTGCATCACAGCTCTAATCAACTCCAACTTTCCCGCATAGGAAAGAGTTTTAGTATTCCAAGCATTAATATAATCTGTGACCGTATCAATCAAAGGGGCGAATTGTGCCACAGAGATCTTTAGTGGGGCTAATGGAATACCCAAGTATCTAACCGGAAATGCCCCTTGTTGAAAATCAACCAAATCAAGTATTTGTGGCAATGCATTCGCCACGTTCCCTCCCAAAAAAATGTTAGATTTGTCGTGGTTAACCAAGAGTCCTGATACCATTCCAAATTCTTCCAACGTCTCGGACAGGATCTTAATGGACTTA